GCGCTCCCGCCGGATATTCTCGTACATGTTGCATGCCCGAGGGCTGGTGGTGTTGTGAACGTGGTTGCTGCTGCGTCGTCCCTCCAATTGTTGGCAAAGTAGAGGCGGAGGCCGGCGATGCGGTAGTCGAGGTGGTAGTTGTGGTAGTGGTACGCATTGGTTGTGTGTGTTGTAGTCTCCACCATGGTCCGCGTCTTGGGTGTTGGGGTACTGCGGGCTGTGGGAGTCGTTTGTGACCACTTTCCAGACTCCCGCTCATGCTGCCATGTTCGTCTTCTGGTCTTCATATTCGTTGTCGGGTGGTGGGGGTGTGTCGGTGGGTGCTCGTTGGTGTCCTCGATGTTCTTCGTCTTCTTCCCCTTTTCTTCCCAGCTTCTCCCAATCCTTGTTCTTGATCTCGTTGTTGGCAATCTCCTGGTCCGCGCCCTCGGTCATGGTGTTGTCTCCAACTGGTGGTGCGGGTGTGTTGGCCGATGGTCTTTCACATGGCCTTGCCTCCCCTTCCAGCTTTGGTGATCTCCTGGCGTTTTCTCCCTCCGATTCACTTGTCCCCCAATCTGGCTTGTCCAGGTCTGGGTTCTCCCGATCATCTGTCATCTCATCTTGGTGGGGGTGGACGGGTTGCATAACGTTGAGAGAAGCCTGGAACCACTGGGAGATCTCGTCCGCGGTGACGGTGGAGGAGTTAAGACGCGTGGTAAGCTCCCCCTCCTGTGCGGGCGTGAACGTGTTGGCCACCCAAAGAATTGCTTTCTTCATGTAGTAGAGCGCCGTGTCGATGGGGTTCCCCTCCAGATACTCCCCCGTTGAGGTCGGCGGCGTAGTGGTTGTTGATGTATCAGGGCGCTCCCCCATTGAGATCAAAGGCATAGTGGTCGTGGTTGCGTCAGGGCGCTCCATGGCGAGGGGTTGCAATGTTGCAGTGGAGTGTAATATGTGCCCCTAGAAGCAAGGCCGATTGTGAAGAAGGATGCAGTGCAGGTCCTGGAGAAGAGTAAACTACATGTGGAAATGGTAAAGGTGAAGGTCGAACCCTGTGGTGTCGGCGCCTTACCGCTTCCCACCTCGTCTTCTCAGTTAGGGCCGAAAAACTGAAGTCCTGAGGAAGCCGTCCCCCCGCAATGTGCCCCCCGAACGGAAACCGAATGGGTTGTAGGGTGAAGCGAGGTTTTCAGCGGTCTCGAGCCTGGCGGCGCGGTTGGTCTCAAGCCGGCTCGGGGGGCGGGTTCCCTCCCCGACTTGAGCCAAAATGGCTCTCTTTCTCTCTCTTTCTCTCTCTTTCTCTCTCTTTCTCTCTCTTTCTCTCTCTTTCTCTCTCTTTCTCTCTCTTTCTCTCTCTTTCTCTCTCTCTTTCTCTCTCTTTCTCTCTCTTTCTCTCTCTTTCTCTCTCTTCCTCTCTCTTTCTCTCTCTTTCTCTCTCTTTCTCTCTCTTTCTCTCTCTGTCTCTCTCTTTCTCTCTCTTTCTCTCTCTTTCTCTCTCTTTCTCTCTCTTTCTCTCTCTTTCTCTCTGTCTCTCTCTGTCTCTCTCTCTCTCTCTCCCTTTCTCTCTCCTTCTCTCGCTGTCTCTCTCTCTCTCTCTTTCTCTCTCTCTCTCTCTCTCTCTCTCTCTCTCTCTTTCTCTCTCTTTCTCTCTCTTTCTCTCTCTTTATCTCTCTCTTTCTCTCTCTCTCTCTTTCTCTCTCTTTCTCTCTCTTTCTCTCTCTTTCTCTCTCTTTCTCTCTCTTTCTCTCTCTTTCTCTCTCTTTCTCTCTCTTTCTCTCTCTTTATCTCTCTTTCTCTCTCTTTATCTCTCTTTCTCTCCTTGTCTCTTTTTCTCGCTCTCTCTCTCTCTCTCTCTCTCTCTCTCTCTCTCTCTCTCTCTCTCTCTCTGTCTCTCTCTATTCTTCTACTGCTGCTGCTGGACATGGCGGGCCCCTCTCTCTCTCACCCTCACCCACCTTGACAGGCGCACAAGCAGCATCGACATACCCCGCTTCAATCCTTGGAAGGCTCAGACAATCGAGCACAAGAAGAGGTTGAATGTCAGATTTGCCAGACCAAGTCAAGGAGCATGGACTCTTCCAACATGTCGCTTCCAGAAATCCCAATGTCCACATTGCCTTCCATGACCTCAAGCAATGCAATCACAGAACAGGATGCATGAACATCAACAACGGAAGCACCACGCTTGCTACCAGGTGGCATAGCTCGGAATGTCTGCGGCAGGCAGGAAGACCTCAGAAACTCGGTCGGCTACGTCACAGCACGGACCTGCGCATGTCCTCCTCGATGCTGCAGATCTTGGGACTACGCTCTGAAAACACAGGGGGCGGCACCAGCTTGATTGGGAGATCCTTACACATGGCCACGTCCAGTCGATCTGGACGCTTGGCGTCAAAGCCAGCTCCCTTCAGGATCTTCATGACCTGGCAAGTGCAGGCTTTTTTAAGGGGGTAAATAGTAAAGAAGGGGGTATGTGAAAAAGGGGGTATATAGGGGGTATAGTATATAGGGGTATATAGGTGTTATAGGGGTATGTAAGGGGTCCCTAAACCCTCTTCCTGAGGCCATGGCATCTTCGTGGATCCTGCATGCGAGCAAGTGCTGAAGCGCTTCCACATGCTGGCAGGGGGTTAACGGTTAGCCCTTGGTCCTCCCTTTCTTTGGAACAGCAAAGAGGATCGTATTCTCTTCCATCACTCCATCAGGCATCGAGCTCTGCGCCCTGGCAGATCCCAGCGGGGTGCTGCTGCCCCCATAGCCGGCCATCTTCCTGGGATTCTGGTCACCCTAAACCCTAAACCCTAAGTCCTAAACCCCTAGACCCCTAAACTCAAAGCTTGTGAAGATATGCTTAAGACATCCGAGCCTCAGCAGAAAGGCGAGGCTAGATCTCTCTCTGCGTCTTTGGCAGGGGGTCTTCTGCTTAAAGCTGCCTGGATCTGCTTGGCAAAGGGTAGTTGTAGAAATCTGCTGAGCTTGCTGGCTGGGTAGACGCTTCGCTGTTGGTATGCAACTCAATCCCGTCAATCCTCTTGATGTCAAAAAAACTTCTGCGGCAAGTGGCTGCTCAGAAGTGGGGATGCTTGACATGCACACGATTCAACACAAGAAGCAAGTCAGGCCCCGACTTCCAGACAGGAGCTGTAGTTTGCGGCGAGCTCCTCAGAGAGCACAGCATGAGACCGAACAGCCAGAGCAGCAAGTCAAAACCCATCAAAAAACTAGTCAGATCCTCATGGAGAGCGGTCTCGCCACCACATCGCGCAGCTTGCTCTTTCACGAACTCTAAAGACAGATCGTGGAGTCGGATGCGGGGACCATCTGGCAGACAGAGAGCCCACATTCCAACATTCAATCCGGCTCAGCTACTCGAATCCTCCTGTGCTAGTAACTCAGCTCGCGGCCAGTGGCACCTTCTTCCATTCCTTTGCTGCCCGCCCATATGCTGCCAGGCACGTTCACTCAAGCCATTTATTTGAGGCGAGTGCGAATGAGGTGGAGACGCTCGAGTCGAGGTAGAAGCATGTCGAGGTCCTTTCCCCGAAAAACTGTACCTCAACATCTTGCGAGAGGTTTGAAGACCTGTCGCCTAGATCAGTCAGACTTGTCTTGACACCATCCCTCCAGGGCACGTAAAGCTGCGACAGGCAATAGCACGTCGTCAGGGAACACGGCCATACCCAGGTAGAGGTCCCTGTCCTCTGGACAAGAGCTCACCAGAAACCTTGCCACGGCCGTGACACCATCCCAAGCTGTCCTGCTGGTCGAGGCGCTTGTGGGCCAGCCCAATACAGCGCTTGATGGCGTTGGGCTCACCCTGATTCAGTGATTCGGCTCTGAGCGCTCTGTGGGCTACGGGACGTCGGGGAGCCTTCTCCTGGGCTGCAAGCTCATCGCAGAAGGCGGTGAAGATGGCTGCAGGCCTGCACTCAACATGGGCTCCATGGAACCCTAAACCCTAAACCCTAAACCCTAAACCTTAAACTCTGAAACCCCAAACCCCAACATTCCCTTCCCATCTGGCTTCCGGCTGCTGTCGTGGTCTGCTTCCAGCTGGCCTCACAGACACGGTTGCTCTTCTTCTCTCCTCCAGAATCTTTCAGGGTCTGTGGGCTTCCAGTAGGATCTGGTGGGCTAGGCCCACCACCTCGTTGGTGAAAGTTGTGCAAGGCGTTTCAGAGAAGACAGGAATTGAGGCACTCGTTTGTACGACCCGTTTTGTTCTCCAGAAGGGGGGTCCCTCCAGGCAGCGTCGATTTTTCGCCGAGTCCCTACTGCTACCCGGCCTGTAGCACCGAGGATTGACAAAGCCAGTGGGGAGCGTGAGCACAGCTTGGCAACGCGTGCCAGGAGCGCGCCATCTCCTCTCGGACTTAAACAACTTTAGGACTCTCAGGGTTCTACCGCAGAGCTGCTGGTCACCCTCTGGTCCTTTCGCCAGGAAAGAAAAAGAGCAAAAAACAACGCAAAGGGCAGCGCCAGCGTCCTTGCAGGTGGAGGAGTTCCCGCGCCTCGGCATCCTCGCGGGGTTACGGGTTGCACTCACCATGTGCCTTCTTGCTACCCTACACCGCTCTCGCCATGAAAAGAGGCGAGCCCTGCTGTCCGTGAGGTCACCGAGGCGCAGTAGCTCCGCTTTCTGGACAAGATCCGCGAAGCGTGTTGTCACAAGTACTGCCACATTGCTCCAGGTCTTCGGGCGCCCCCTCATGGGAACAAAGCACTCCAGGTGCGACGCATTCCACACGTCGTCGAGCACCACCAGGGCTTTGCACCCCGACAAGGCGTTGTAAAGGCGGGCGTATCCATCAGAAACGTCGGCTGGCGGATCATGCACCCCAAAAGCACGGAGAAGGGTCGACTGCAGGCTCATGACATCGGGACTTTGACCCACGGTAATGTATGCAGCACCTTGAGGGAAGATCTCACCCAAGGCTGTCTCATCGAGGAGCGATGCACAGGTGGCAACTGTCTTGCCCATACCCCCCGCGCCATGCACGATGCAGAGCCCTGAGGCTTTGAGGCACTTTTGCAAAGACTTGACCAGGGACTCAGAAAGTCCAGCGCGACGCGCGTAGTTTGCGGGCAAAGGTGGCACATCTGTCAGGAGCTGCAGCGACATGCTTTGATGTCAGATGCCAGAACTCTCATCTTGCAAGCGGGGCGTTGTGGAGTAGAATAACGCGATGGGTCATGTGCTCATGTGTCATGAAGGAAAATTTGGCAACCGTCTGGTATGCTGGTATGCTTGACTCATACTCATACGCTTTGAAAGTATTTGGCTGCGATTTCTCTCAAATATGCGCATATGAAGTTGGAGCCAAACTGCGACGTTGACACAATGGCGAAGAAGAATATGTTCAGCTTCGTGCTCCACTTTGCTGCTTGCGGCGGGACTGCACTTGGTCACAGCCATGCACTTGGCGAAGTGCCCCGCCCCCCCCCCCCCCCCCCGGCACAAAACAACCAACTCTTTGTCGCTAAGCCTGTGCTATCTCCGCAGCTGCTTCTCAAGAGGCTCAGCCCTGCCTGCAGACGGTTTCCCCAAGGCTCTGGGGGTGTCGATGTCGAGACGGCCCATGCAGTTCCGCTGTGCCCCCTGCATTGGTGCCGCCTCTGCGTTGGCTCATCCCATGGCACACGACACCAGCATCGACTGGAACCACCTGGACAAACAGCATCTTTCTTACATGGGGGTTGATCTAGAATCTAGATCATGGGCCCTTGTTGGTACACAAAACAAGCAGGAAAATTGTCAAATTGAGGCCCTTCAGAGGGTCTCATAAATAAGGTGCTGCCCGCCCCAGCCCCCCTGCCCCGTTTGCAGTTCTAGGCTCGCGGGTCATGTGAGCACAAAGCGTGGCAACCAAGGTCCCCATAAGACATGCCCCCGACAGTTCACCTCGTTGCGCAGGTCGTTCAGGGGTTTTGCAGGCTTAGCCATTCGGGCCCGGCATGTACACACGCGCCTCCCCCTCGGGCGGCGCAGGCGCGCTGGGAGAGCGCCCTCATGCCTGCATTGCCCACCTGCAGGCGTCTCCGGGCATTCTCAAGGGGTCACTTCAAGTTGGCTCAGTGGCATTGGAGCCCCACACTCCGCAAATTCCTTTTGTGCCCATGCAATATGGTACAAGCTGCTCAGCCCTCAAGCCAAAGCCCTGGTGCACCTTTACACGTCAAGCGCGGACACGTCCTAGCTTGTGACGCTCCTCAACCGCTTGCTGGAAGGCTAGTCGGCTAGTCGCCTCAGAGCTGCCGCCTGCGCTCCTCAAAACTGTAACATGGCCATGTCTTGAGCATGGCTACGGCTGTGCCATGGCATCTGTACAATTTTCTCGCGATTGCGAGCATCTCGCTGCCACGGCATTGACAAACTGCTCCGTTGCGATAAACAAGAAGGCGACCGAAACCAGTGGCACGGTCAAGGCGCAAGGAAAGACGCCATTGGACGCAACCACGGCTAATCGCAACCCAGCATAGACGGCCGTTGCTGCAGTAGCCCCAACACCCGCCAAGCTGGTCACGAAAAGATAGCCTTGTTCGCTGTAACGCAAGGAGATCCACAATGCGATCAAAGCACCGTTGTATCCAAAGAAGCCCTCCTGAATCTCAAAGGCTATCCCTCCACACATTGCTCCGAACAGTGCACCAATGCAGGAGCCAAGAAGAGATACAAGTGCTGAGAAGGGACTGGCTAAGCAAATCCCCAAGGTTACGAGGACTCCGGAGATCGGGCTTGAAACAAAGAACATCTGCGCCACCCCGTTCAAGGTCGCCTTCACGGAGTTCGAACCGGCGAGGGCTGAGAAGCAACAGCTCCAAGAGAAAACGTCCTTCCCATGGTCGTCGCCATCGCTGCCACCATGCTGGGCAACCCACATGTGAACACAAGAGATTGTAATGAGGGAGACGAGGTTGTAGGCAAAGGTAAGCTGTGACTTCAGCATCCTGCCAATCCCAACAAAGACCAGCGGGGTAAGGCCAGCGACAAGAACCGTCAGAATCAGGCCCAGAAGGAAGTTCCCGATAAAAACGGAGAAGCTGCAGCCGACCAGGACACCGTTATAGCCGAGCAAGCCTTCTCTCCTCGCCTCTTTGTCCAGTCCCAAGCACAAAGCCGTCGCTGTAGAAGAGAGGCCACCAAGAATGGACAGCACGATGGCAGCTCGTGGGCTGCCAAGGAGGACTGCCAGTAAGAAGATGATCCCTGCACGGGGATTGGCGAAAAAGCATACTTGCGACAGGCCATTGAGGACATCAAGTAGAAAGTTTAGCAGGAAGCAAGCACCTTCACGATCGCCTTCTCTTCTGCCACAAGAGCATGAGCACATCCAAGGGCATCGGCGGCTCTCAGCTTCCCCCGGGCTCTTACTGCCCAGGCTCTCCGCACTGTCCTCCGCAGATGTACTATACGCGCTAGGGCTTGCTCCAGAAGCCTCAGGATCCCAATGCACCGACTTCGGCGCCTCCATATGCCACTCCACACTACGGAGCCCTAATTGAGCTAACTTGAGGCTGAAAGCAGTGCAAGAGAAAGCGCAGGGCTGCAACATTGGTTCCAGCCGCAAACCAAAAAACTAGCACTGTCATGCCTCCAATCAACTCCCGGCGCTTCCAGCGTTGCAATGCGGCTTTCTAAAGCTTTCTCTAGCCAGCTTCGATCTCGCTGTGATCTTGTCAAGCCTAAATCATCCGACGTCCTAAGCTCACCATTTTCAATAACATCGCAATCTACATTGGGCAAGCAAGCGACGAAAACAACACGAACAATCGGCAAAGAAACAAAAAGGCGCGAGAGCGAGCCCTCACAGTCTTCCATGTTCCTCACACTGATCTCAGCTTTGCGATCTCTTTCGACATTACTTCCTTTCTGCGGTAGGATCTGTACTGTGGTGTCCAGTTTGTAAATTGCCGATGACTTGGCCAGACGCACAACAGCCCAAGCACTTCCAAAGAGTAGAGGGTATCTATTAGCTGGATGTCCCTTTCCCACCAGAACCTTCCCATGCGCGGACACCCAGCTCTACCTAGCAACCGCTGCAAAGGAGAAGGTCAAAGAACAAGCGCAAGCAATTGGATGAATTCTGCCTGTGCTTCATACAACAACTCCATAGTCCACAAATCAATCCGCCCAGGCCTGCTCAGCTTGTTTGTGCCTGCAGATTCAATCTTCGGAGAACTGCAGTCTGAAGGGCACTGCAAGCGGTTGCAAGGCATATCCAGGTCCTAACACGGTGGGGATGTTGATGCATGTTTCCCACTGTAGAATATGAGGGAAACATTGGTAGATCCCCCTCTCAAAAAGGGCTCAGAAGGATGGCCAAGAGGGGAACCAGGGATAAGCTAATCGAACTTTCCGAAACGGAGCCCCCCTACAACCCTTCCCCGAAGCCCTGCAGAACCTAAAACGAATCCTGAAAAACGAGCATTTCAGGCGCCACTTGGGGGCGTTGTGGGGCTTTGGCCTTGGGGGCTCGGGATATCCTCAAATCCCAACTCCAACCCCTCGTTCCCGGCAGCCGCGCCAGAAGAGCAAAAAGCCCAAGGAAAGCCGAAGCGGTTCCTTGGCGACACGGAGTCCTAGTTTTGCATGCTTGGTTGATGGAGTCTAGGGGCGAGGGGTTTAGGGTTAGACTGTGGGTGGGGTTGACGGTTGAGGTTTTCGGGGGGGGTTTGCTCTGAAGTTCCGTTGCCCTTCAGGACCCTCCTCCTCGACTACTTTCAAGTCAAGGTCTCAGGAAGTAGGGACACCGCCCCCTGAGCTTCGAAGTACCTGGAACTCAGGGAACATGGGACTCGAATATCATTCAGAGAAACCAAGGTGGCTTTGAGGTCTTTCAGCTTTAAACCCTGCACCCCCAACCCGGGAACTTGAATACAACTAGTGTCACCCCTTGCAAACATGTAGCGCACTTAGAGCCTTACCTGATAAGTCCCACGCATAGAACCATTAGAAGACCCTACACACTTGCCTACAAAGTCCCTGACCCTCCAAGTACGACATTCCGACAAGCAGCTTTTCCAGGGTGGCTGCCTTGGGGTTTGCCGTCGACGATGCCTGCAAACACGGCAAGGCGAAGGGGCGTCGGATGTAGGGTCAGTATGTTGAGGCGTATGTAAGGCTTGCTAGGGCTTACTGTGCAAGGGTGGCTCCCGTGCACAAGATTCAAGTACTCTTGGGTTCTCCCCCCAGCTTAGAGCCTCATCGAGTGCCTCTACCCTAAAAACCTAAACCCTAAACCCTAAACCCCGGCAGGCATTCAGGCCAGGGCATTTTGGACTGGAGCTTGGTGCCAGAGCTCGAAGTTCACCATTCTCTGCGCTTTCGGCAGATTCTGTCTACTGGGCTTGTGCCATTTGGAAAGGCGTTGGAGCTAGCACTTCGGTCGAAATGTATGAAAGAGGCAGCGGGCTGCGGGTACACGCATAAAGCCCCGCAGCCCAGCAACATGGGAGAGGAAGCACGTAGCCGCCAAACCCAAGAGCACGAGGTCGACGACGAGGGCCTTCAACAGTGCGACAGTCATTATGGAGCACCACTGTTGACTGCCTGCTGCTGTAAACGATTGCGAGGCCCTAAGACTAAGATTCCACAATGAATTTTGCGCGCGCGACTTACCCCCCACGCCTTTTGGACGTCTGCGAGCTCCTTGAGCTCAAAGCCGTACGAGATCGCATAGCAAGTAACGAAGGTAAGCGTCACGATCTTCGCAGAAAGCGAACCCAGAAAAGCCTTGTCATCCCGCTCTGCACCGCACCACAAGACCACCGTACTACCCATGAGGATACCATTAGTGCCACCGAGCAAAGCATCACTGCATCCATAGAGAAGGAAATGAAAAAGCCATCCAGCATCGAGAGAGTTTCACATCTGCAAGACCCCGCACCGAGAATTCCTGCTGTCTCACTTCCCTCAGCGCCGGGGTTGACATTCCTGAGTCCAGCAGAACCTGCACTGAAGCTTCCACGTGGCACCAGCGGTCAGCAATCTCACTTTGGATTGTGTTCGTGTCGTCTGGATTTCCACAGATAGCATCTTGCACTCGAGTGCCCTTGGGCAGTTGAAGGCAGGAAGCTTCCTGTTTCCGCTGCAAAGCATGGAGTCGATCCATTTCGCTGGATACAAGGAAGATGAGGAACAGAGGGATCAACAAGAACTTCCCGGTGGGGTCTTGAGTCACGACCCGCAATGGCAAGTTCCCCAGCGTCGAGAAGATTCTGGCCCAAAAGCCCAGGATGAATCCCAGGGCCAACGATCCCAAACAGTTGAGGCCGGCAATAGCACGGGAGGAACGGCCACATAGAACCACTAGCACCACACAACCTGCTGCCACATCTTCAAAGATGTACGGAGGCTTCGCGCCCAACGCATATGACACTTGCAGGGAATGCACCACATCCTTCCAGGTGTCAAACGTCTCGGCTGGACCTGCAGCAGCTTTGCCTGCTGCACTCCAGAAGAATCCGGCAACGGCCCCAGTGACCAAGGTCGCCACCGCCACCGCTGCAGAAGGGAGCCGTTTCAATGGGGGCCTGCAGATGATGTAGAAGAGTACTAGATCGTATACTACATATACGATAGCAGAACATTTAAAAAAGAACTCCAATAAGCTATAATAAACTAGAGGGAAACCACCCGTGGAGTCCTCAGGGTCCTGATTGATAAATAATCGAAATAGGAGCAAAAATACTTGCAATGAGCAGAATAATGATACTCATGATAATCAGGACAATAGTAATATTCATAACAATAATCAGAACCATGATAACAGTAATAATAACAAATAACAATGATAGAAATAATCATGATGACAGCAGCAGCAGCAGCAGCAGCAGCAGCAGCAGTAGCAGTAGCAGTAGTAGCAGTAGTAGTAGTAGTAGTAGTAGTAGTAGTGGTTTAGGGCCGTTTAGGCTCTAGGGCTTATGGTTGAGGGCCTATGCGCGTAGCAACTTTTGTGGCGTTTTAGTCGCTTGTTGCCTCAGTTTAGATGTTCACATCAGGTTCGCATGAAAGTTCTGTCCTGCCAGGCGTGGGTGATGAAGAGGTCGCATGGAAGCCCCTCAGGATTTCGGAGCAGAGCCCAGCTCATCCTTCTCAGTGGGAGGTTCCGGGTAGCCAAACCTTATCATAGGACAATAGATTGTGGTTAACGTTTCTAGAACAGATTCTACAATTGCAACGTTTAAATACTGTAGCATACAGCGACAGAACTTTGTTTAGATAAAGCTTGCTCAGCAACCTCTGAAGAAGGCAGCTGGGCTGTAGTGACTCTTTCTGGCAAGAGAGGACTAACTACAACCAACCCACGTCCTGCCAGCATCCAGAGTCAGAGGCTTGATGTAGTTGTCGGTCAAATTGTACATGTTGGGGCCAATCGTTTCATCCTCAGGACTGAAGGGGTCGGGACGCTCGTCGTCGAAGACCGGCTCAATAATCGGCATGACCATGCGCTGGTCTATGGCCTGGCGGACCTCCTGCCGAAGGAAGCGCAGGTCCTGCGGCGTCACGCACCACATGCTAGGCGGAAGCTTCTCGTGCAAAGCTCTGCCATCGAGGCCCCATCCAGGGAAATTGGGATCAGCGCTACCATCGCCCATTGCAGAGGCAAGTCAGGCACTGGGCCAAGGATATGGCTCTACAGACTGAAAAAAGGAGGCAATGCCAACGACGATGGAAACAGCTAAGCCTAGGGTCTGGAGTGGGAGAGCAGCGTGGAACCAGTACGAAGCGTAGTCAGTAGTCAGGAGAGACCCTCGTCGGCCCTTCAGCCTAAACCATACAACCCCAAACCCTCATCCCCTACCTAAGCTTCCAAACCCTACCACCCTAAACCCTACAAGGGGTTCTATAACAGCTACTTTCAGGGTTGGGCGTAGGGCTTAGGGTCTAGGGGGTTCGAGGCTTCGGGTGGAGAGGTTTATACTATCTCTCTCTGTCTTTCTCTCTCTCTCTCTCTCTCTCTCTCTCTCTCTCTCTCTCTCTCTCTGTATATATATATATATATATATGTAGACATATATATATGTATATTTATGTGTATATTTATGTATATTTGTACTTATATTTCATAATCTGTGTATTCAGGTCTTCATTTAGTAGCTCTAGTACTAACAGTCTCAATACAACAAACATATGCAGTCTGCAATATGCAAAACTACAGTCTATAAGGTAAGCTCCTTATAGTATAGGATACTTTACGTACATACATACATATATATATATATATAAATCTTTTTTATTCTTTTCTCAATTTATTTGTTTTAATCTAATTTATTTACTTGTATTGATATTTACATTTACATTACATTTAATATTTAGATTTATACTTGTATTTATATTTGGTACCCCCCCCCCCCCCCCCCCCCGCAGTTATCCACCTATTTAGTTGGTGTTTGGTTGGTGTTGTATCGTATCGGAAAGGGGGGGTAGGTTACTTCAGAGCTTCGTTACTTCAACGCTTCAGCCTTATTATATTCTGATACTATAGAATAGCGTTTTGTTTAGTGAATAGTGTAATTGCATTTCAAGGCCTCAATGGTCAAGCACGGTCCGGGGCAAGAAGTTTTCAAGTGCATTCCGGGTTTTGAACTTCAAAACTCTGGGATCCAAGCTTCAAGATTCAAGATTCCAGGAGAAAGTTTCCATGGGATCTTGAATCCTGGATCCCGGAGTTTTGAAATTCAAAACCCCGGATTGAACTTCAAAACTCCGGGATCCAGGATCCAAGATCCCGTGGAAACTTTTTCCTGGGATCTTGAATCTTGAATCTTGGATCCCAGAGTTTTGAAGTTCAAAACTCTGGATTGAAGTTCAAAACTCGCGGAACCCTATAGGGTTAAAGTTTGAAGGTTTAGGGCTTAAGGTTGAGGCATCTAAACCTAAGCCGGCAATTAAACCGACCCCCTTATCCTTTAAACCCTAAAGATTTAAGGTTTCAAGGGTTAGGGTTTACGATGTAGGCATTCAAACTTAAGCCGGCAGTTCAACCTAAACTCTCAACCTTTAAACCCTATAGGGTTAAGGTTTCAAGGCTCAGGGTTCAAGATTTAGGCATATAAAGCTAAGCCCATAGAGTTTAAACCTCAAGGGTTTAAGGTTTAGGCATTAAAACATGAACCCTAAAGCCTTTAGGGTCTCTAAAAGGTTCAAAGGTGTTAAACCCATAGGCGCTGAAGGTATAAACGCCCAGACCTTAGGTACCTCAGGTTTAGGCATTAAAGCCTTTAAACCCTATAAGGCGTTTAAAGGTTTAAGGTCTGGGGATTTGAACCTAGGTTTGGGCATTCCAACTGGTTTAAGCCTTAAACCCTATAGGGACCCTCTTGTGTTAGGTGTTTAAACCGAATAGGTTATCCTTAAACGCTATAGGTTTAAAGGTTTAGGTTCAAAACTTTTAAGCCTCTAGGGTTTGAAAGTTTAGGTTTTTTCCGGGTTTGTCTACCCTATTCGGGGTAGCCCTGTAGGGTTTTACTATAGGGGGTAAAGGTTCAGGGTTTAAGGTTTAGGGCATTGCAAAACGGAACCCTAACCCCTCAGGGTATATTTATATTTATATTTATCTTTTTCTTTATATTTATATTTATGTGTATATTTATATCTATATTTATATTTACTCTTTACGTATTTACACATTTATTTATTTCTGTATTTGATTATTTATTGATTTGTATTTATATGAGAAAGAGAGAGAGAGAGAGAGAGAGTTAGAGAGATTGAGAAAGAGAGAGAGTTAGAGAGACAGAGGGTCAAGAGACGAGGCCTTAGCGTCCACCGACCGCGCCAGCGTCCCGTCTTCATTGAGAGCCTGAGAAAATGGAATCCGTGGGGGGAGTCTGCAATGAAGCATATCTGGGTAGCCCAGTGGCACCCTTTTGCCCTTTTTGATTCCCAGGTTGCTTCATAAAGTAAGCAACCCAAAAAAGGGCACCCTCATTATAATATGGGTACTGGGCTACCTAGATATGATATAGCCTCTAGTATAGTCATCCCTTAACGAGCCGATGAATTAACAGGAGCCCAAAACCCAACACTCTATATTCGGGCACAGTGGGCTAAACTCTCAACCCATAGACCCCTTACAGGCAAGTTTCGGGTTTAAAGTTTACTTGGATCAAGAGACTCAGAAGCCAGAGTGGTGAAGACGCAACTATCGCGAACATGATGTATAGCACCAATCCAGGTAACGATGAAGTCACTTGCTTACGTCTCCTGACCATCCAAACAAGGGCTTAGGGGGTATCACTGGGCCAAAAGCACTCGGACTTCTCAAGGGCAGTAAGGGTTCAGGCTTTAAGCGTTCAGGTCAGGGATTCGGGGATTTGGGATTCAGGATTACGAAGGTTCTTGGGTTTAGGGTTTAGGGTTTAGGGTTTAGAGTTTAGAGTTTAGGGTTTAGGGTTTAGGGTTTAGGGTTTAGGGTTTAGGGTTTAGGGGTGTGACATTAGCGGTGGTTCGGGCAATCGGGAGATCAAGGGCTGACAGCTTGGCGGCACGGCGTTCACGGTTCAAACCCCAAAACTCTTGAACCCTAAACCCTTGAGCCCTAAATCCCAAAAGTGTATTTACCCTACACCCTTGAGCCCTAAATCCTAAAAGTGTATTTGACATCTGGCCTTCGGCTTCAGGCCCGGAGTGCCCATGATACTCGAAGGATCATAGGACTGAGTGACTAGGGTTTAGGGTTTAGGGTTTGGGGTTCAGGGTTGCTAGGGTTCTGGCTAAGGTGACGAAGCTTGTAATTTGCGCATGTGGTGATCATATTGCCAGCCTGGTCAGAGACGGGACTGCCTGGCATGCGAAGGATTTGTGCTTGCAGGAGTGAAGGTGTAGGGTTAGGGTTTAGGGTTTACGGTTTACGGTTTGGGGTTTGGGGTTTAGGGTTTAGGGTTTAGGGTTTAGGGATGTTTAGGGTTTAGGGTTCAGAAGACTGGATGAAGACTGGATGTAATTCGAGCGGAATCTGGACATGGGAGTTGCTCTGTGTTAGTCCTCCACCGAATGGCACCTTCTGTGCTACCAGTGGAAATATGCTCAACTGCGGGGCTCCTCTACAAGCACCTTATATGGAGGACCGTGGGTAGCTACTACACCTGCTGTGAAGGGACAGCTTGTCTTTCAAGCTGACACACAGAAACCCATGAGGCAACACCCACAGAACCCAAGACAAATCCGCAAAGCTCTGCGCGATGGACTGGAGGCCCCTGCCTCCGGTACTATGGTAAATATGGTGAGGGTGTATAGCGGTTCCGAGCTTAAAGGTTGCGGCTTCACGGTCGCTGATTCCATGATGAACCCCAAACCATGATTTTAATACGCAACCACAACCTTGCAGCCAAAGAGACTTGAATTTCTCTTCTCGAACCCTCAGCGCAATCCCAAGAACTCCAATCCGGCAAGTCTAAATTTCAACCCTGCGCGACCTGAAGTCCGAAATCCCGCCCTCCTCCTCGCCAAATCCCAAACTCCAGAACACCCACTTTGACCCGAAAGGCTCGCCTGTACGGTCTGAGCTGTACCTGAAACCTCGCAGGATTCCGCGTGCCGCTTTCAAAAGCGAGCTCTGCTGTTCCAGAACGCGGAAAGCTGCGAACCGTACCGGGCGGAGAACGAACTCTGCTCGCCCTGAAAGCCGGGTCTGTGGAGGCGAAAGGCACCATAGCGGAGACAGTTGTAGGGCTAAAAAGAAAAGTAATGTCTCGCATTATGACGCTACACTTGTTCTCAGAACTTACAATGCGAACTTGAGTGGAGTGTAAGTCGCAAGCTCCGGCAGCTGTGTTGCTCCAGGCTCCATGGTTGCAGGGCTCTCGCTAGCTGCAAGCAACGAGAAACCATGCTGGGGGGAAGGAGGTACCCCATAGAATTCCTTAAAGGGTGTATATACAAGTCCCTGATTCCTCATTCCTTGCTGACCAACAGTAAGACTAAGCCCAGTTGGCAGATTCTTGCCAGCTCGACTTCTGCACAAAGACGACTCCCGCATGAATGCAGCGTGTGTTCGGAAACGGCATACTGCTGGCTGTCCAGGCAGGACGCCCTGGACACCAGTACTCGCAATCATGCAAAGCCTCGGGAATTGAGCGCTCCTCTTCAGGTATCGTTATGCACTCCTCACTGTCCGGGCCTCCCCAAGCATGGCTGTCGGCATCCTCGTCCTCAAGCCTGTACCTCCCATGACGAGAACATGGCCGGCACCTCCCAGAACAGGCCGCATCCTTGGCTTCAAAAGCGGAGTTGGCACCACGCCTTTGATGCCAAATCGAATACCTCGACTTTGTCCAGTAGTAGCGCCCGCTTGTGATGTCAAACTCTGAGCATTCCGTCCCACCGCAAATAAGGAGCTTTCCTCCCACGCCGGCAGCAGTACCACCCCAACGTGCAGTTAGCATCGGAGGAATCGCATCCCAGGTCCCTGTTACGACATCGAAGCATTCTGCCTCGCGGACTGGTGGGCTTTGATCATCGTACTCGTCGTAAGCATCCACGATGCCTCCACAAGCATAGATTCCGCGGCTCACAGCAGCTGTGGCAAATCCACGGGTCTTGTGCTGTCTACCGGGTAAGGCAGTCCACTGCACAGCCTCAGGACCACCCGTCTCACGAGAACTTCCTGAACTTCCATCCACATCATCAGACTTCGGCAGGGGTATGGAATACAAGACGGGCTCGTCGTCATACATCAAGTACAGCCTGCCGTGCGCGGGCGCTGCAAGCAAGACTGCATCGCCGACCTCCCGATCCGGCAAGCTCTGCAAGGAGGCAAAGCGGCTCCACTTCAGGGAGCGGAAGTCGATTCGATGTATCTCCGCGGCGCCTTCGGGAGACTCTGCTGGCACTCCAAGGACGTACATCGAACTGCCGGCAAAACTCATGCTCGAGTGGGGTCCTCGACCGTCGCACTCAGGGCGAAGTGGGCACTGAATGTTCCTCTGCGAGCTTTGGGCCAGTGTGTTAACGAGATGCCTTCCTCCTGACAGGGCCCCTCAACATCTGTCTCCAAGGAGACTGGCTACACCTCCCCTCCACACACCCATCGGCAGGAACAAAAATTAGCCACTGCAATGGATACGGAACCTGCTCTTCTTGCGAACTAGAGACACGTGCGCGCATGCAAGCAAGAGCAACGAGGACCGGTACCAACATGCAGAACTCCAGCTCACTGTGCAATCAAAGGTCCTGAGCCACCCCAAGCTGTGGCAGGCAGGTCACAACCAGCTCAGCTGCAACGTCGCCGTCTTCGTTTCTCAGGCCCGCCAAGCAGATTTTCGGGTCAAACTCGGCCCGAAACAGATCGCTTCTCCACCTGCAGGTCCTGCTCAGAAGCCGCGAGGGGGGGAAGGTGCCTGCGAGCTCGGCCACGATGGCAACCACGGCATGAGGCAGCTCATGCAACCGAGGCATGGGCGCTTTCCACAAAGGGTTTCGGAGGGTTCAGGTAAAGGATGCTACAGAAGCTTAGGGAGCTTTTGATAGCATCGTTTTAAGGGTCTGGGAAGGATTTTGGGGCTTGAGGTGGGAGGTTTCAGGTGGGTTCAGGGCGTCAGGGTTTGAGGGAAGCAACACGGAAATGCACTCGTGCGCGTGTCTATGTGTCCAGCAGCAGAGTGTCTGTGCATTCTGTCCACGAGGATGGTCGTATGCTTGTTGCAGTAAACGGGGGAGCTCTGAGCCCGACAGCAGCTCATGCGGGACACTTGCCGCCTATGGCAGCCAGCAGCTAGAACCTCACAAAGCCCTCTAAGGGTTTGGGTTTTGGGTTTTGGGTTTAGGGGTTTAGGGGTTTAGACCAACTAGAGCCCTCCCGCACCCTGCACAAATGCCACCTGCACCGCTGGCTTCTGCGCCGCCGATGCGCCCGTCACGGGCAGCAAGGCGACATCCGATCTGAAGCCAAAAAGAGGGCTTAGGGTTCAGCGTTTAAGGCCTAGGGTTTTAGAGTAGGGTTTCGGGGTAGATTATGCGGAACTCACATAAGAGGGACTCGACCCCTTTTGCCAGGTGCTCGTCGTGCCTCGTTTAAGGGACCAGCTACCCTGCTTTTTAATGCAAGATGGGGTTTGTTGAAGGTTTTGCCTGCAAAGGTTTCACATCGGCTGGCCTTTCCGTACGCGTGACGGAGAGAGCGAGAGAGCGAGAGAGAGAGAGAGAGAGAAAGAAAGAAAGAGAGAGGGGGGGAGAGAGACAGCGAGAGAGAGAGCGCGAGAGAGAGTGAGAGTGCGGCTTGCATCATTTAGGACTGATACATTTGGTCAGGGGTCTTAAAAGGCTTTCACATCTCTACCCTGGCCCTCAACCCCAAAACCCCAAACCCCAAACCAGATCGAAACCCCAAACACATTCCTGGCGCCAAGAAAACCTGGGAGCAAGCCTCCGAAATCCACTGCCGAGCGAATGTCTTGCCTTGGCCAAGACCGCGAAACCCTGAGCTCGAAACCTATATACCGTACATAATAATACTGGTAATGACGAGAACGCTAATGGTAATAACAACATTTCTAATGGATCAAACTTTTGAAAATATACGGCGAAAAAATATCTGTAGTGATAGTAATTGTAATTGCAACTGTACTGGTAATCGTAATCGCAATAGCAATAGTACTAGTGATAGTCATAGTCGTAGTCATAGTAATAGTAGTAGCAATAGAACTACTAACAACAGTAGTAATGGCGAATGCATCACAAAGGACACAGGCCTTGGAAGATGGGACATTGGCAGCCGGCTTTGTGATGCCAACCAGCGGTTTCGCCGGGGCCTGAGGAACAAAAACATGCACGATGGGTTTAGAGCCTAAGTTTGGGGCTTTAGTGGTTGATGGTTTCGGGTTTAGGGTGTAGGGTTAAGTTGTGCAGTTGCTGTGTCTTTCGCCATGGGAAACTAGGGGCCTAGGGGTTCCAGGGTTTGGCACGCTGCCACTTCGAGCGGAATGAAGGGACTACACGCCAGGGTAAGCACAACGCACAAGCCCTCAACGCCATGAGCCTTAAGCACCTAGCACTGCCACAGTCATCGATGGCAATCATGTATCGGCAAGAACTTTTCTCATCTTTTTGCCTACAGGGTTTCCGTAAACCCTAAACCCTAAACCTTAAACCCTAAACCCTAAACCCAAAACCCTCGTTCGATCTGTAGAACACAAGATCTGATGTCGATTCACGGCCGCGGGGGCCTCGGGCAAGGAATCTGACCGCTCCATCACTCCATCTGGGGGTTGACGATACTAGGGGGGGTACCTTATTGGGGTTCTGGTTATCAAGGAATCCTACTATTTGGGGGTCTATATTGGGGGTCCCTTGTGTTCGTAAGCCCGAATCTGAGCGGTCTTCGCACGTAGAAGGTGATGACGAACTTTGCTACTCAAACTCATCGTCACCATGTGATCCTTGTGACCAATAGCAGTGGTGACAGTCGTACAGATGTGCATGTTCTTACCCATCAGAGCATAGAGTCCGGAGTGTTGTCCCTACAATACTTACACTAGAAATGATCCCAAAACTACACTGTTCGAACTATTACCAAGTAAAGCGCTTCTCTTACACCCGATAAAAACCGATTCTCATGATGAAGGCCCTTATCTCACACCCCATGTTATAAGCCCCATGAAGGACCCATAAGCCATTCCGGCTGCCGGGCCTTCCGTGTGACGCCGCTTGCGACTGGAGACTTCTTGGGCGTGCCACGCGGGTGCAACCAGGAGCGGCCTCGGGGTTTAGGGTTTGAGGCATGTAGAGCTGGCAGGACTCATGGTGTCTGTTGGGGCTTTAGGGTTCAAGTCTTAGGGTACAGGCTAAAAAGACATTGGCAGTCCCTAAGCGTGCCCTGAGCGCCCGACGCGACTGCAACCTCCGCTGCTCTGGACTTCTCGCTCGCGCTGTCGGGTGGCCTCCAGAAGGCCGTCGCACAAGAGTACAATTGGCACCTGTCTACTAAGGCCCGAAGCGACGACAGAGGACAAGGGCAACGGTGGCAACGAATGTACAGACACATATTCTCCTCGTGGCGTTGGCTGTCTAAAGACAGGTGTCCTCAATTTCCGCAGTGGTGAGGACTGAGGTGACCTAGTGTATATAGGTCACGAAACCACTAGTCAAGTGTTGTAAGTGACTGAAGGGAATAGGATGTCTGAAACCACGTCGTGTTGCTATACCAATCCTCCTCGCCTTCAGGAGCCCAGTTCATGTGAAGCAAGCCGGTTTCACCGAGCTGCCTCAGTGGATAGAACTCGATGTATGGAGTGTATGAGGTCCCTTCAGCTGAGGCGTCACGTAGGAGCACCACGACTGTTGGATCGGTCCCTTTCATGTTCCAGCGCCGGGACCAACGGTTGTCGGCCCTTGTTGAAGAAACTTCCGCGCCCTCGCGTGGCAGGGATATCACTTCGGTAGCACTGGGAACTCCCACGCTGCTCATGAACTCGGAGTCGATGAAGTAGCAATCGCAGTAGATGTCCGAACTTGGCTTTGTCCACCCTGGAAGGTCGATCTTGTACCGCGCTTTGTAGACTAATTGGTTTGATGTCCTCACCATAGCCATGAAACCTGGCGACAACGCTGAAATAAGGTAGCCAGCGCTGTTCCTGTTACCTTTCTGCGTTGTTGTGCCATCAGGCTCGCAGGAGTAGGAGAAGAGATTCTCAAAGTCGTAGGCAATGGAGAGATACAATGACGTGGAATCGCTCTCGTTGTCAGGAGCATCGAAATTTGCCTGCGTAATTTCGAAGGCTGGCGAGAGCCGAGCATGATAATCATCGACGCGCGTATTGAAGTAGCTCAACTCTGCCGGAGCTTCGGTGTAATTTGCATCGCCCTGGTAAATGTTTACATCATCTCGGCTATCCACGTAAACCTCGGGCACTGTGTAGTTGGCGCCGCTTTTGGAGTAAAACCAGCCGAATTTCTTCCCCTTACAATCCCAGGTGTACGTGCTCACTGTGGATTGCATGATCCGGGCCATGTGCAGGTAAACGTCCGTGTAGGTGCCAATCTTCTCCTGCGTCAATTCGACATTGCTGGAGAATCGTTTCACATCAACGGGGTCAGCAAAATCGAAGGTCTTGTTGGCTGCCATGGCCTCATCAAACATGTTCAAGGTGAACCTGCCTTCTCCATCAGTGCTGTTCAGTGGAATCCCAGAAGAATATACATCCCGGCACCCGGGAGTGCCGTACAGAACCACACGAATGGGATAAAAGTGAATCTCCTCAATTATGGAGCGCAGCTCCTCGCTTTGGAGGCGCCGTCTCTCTCCTTGGGCTGCCAAGGGCTGCATCGTCAACACAAGGACAGGAGGCTCCGTAGAGCTTGTGGTAGTGCTCGTAGTGCTTGGTGTTGTGGAGTCTTCCATGTCTTGTGCTGAGCTCGTAGTTTCGCCCCCGGTCGTCGCTGTCGTCGCTGTCGTCGCTGTCGTCACTGTCGTCGCTGTCGTCACTGTCGTCGCTGTCGTCACTGTCGTCGCTGTCGTCACTGTCGTCGCAGCACCGACGGACGTAGTGGCACTTGTTTCCGACGTGCTCGTAGTGTCGCCCACTGTTGTCACCTGTGTGGTCGGCAGGTCTGCATCAGCGTCCGACACTGACACTGAATTTTCGCATCCCTGCAAAAAAAGCGCGAGAGCCCCCGCGATCGCGACTTTCCACATGGGCAAAATAGAGTTGAGCTAAGCCTGTTGTGCTCGCTCTCTTCTTCTACCCAGCGAAGAGGACCCCTCGTGAGAGGAGCCTCTCTCTCTCTCTGAAATGAGCAGCTTGAGCCTGGCAAAGCCCGGAATGGATGCTCAAACCAGCACGGATCACTAGGACATGACCAAACCTTGCCTGAAGCAGCAACTTCATGCAGCGGCGGTCTTCAATTCCAGAAAGCGCTCAACCACCTCAACCGTCAACCGGCACGCTCGCTGCGAAAGGAAGGGCCAGCTGCTACGCGACTGCTGCTGACGTCAAGAGTTGAGCTTGCAGCGTATCGCCATGTCGCCACACTCTTTATCAGACACTCCTGCAACAACCCGCTTGACAAGTCCCCGGAACTCTTCAATCCGAGAGGACAGTACAACGAACAAGGCATCAGTGCCGGATGACATGAGAGGCTCCTCGTTGAAGTTCTTCATAGCCGAAGACACGACCTTTGTGGATCAGCCATGCAGCCCCCGGCGGCTAGGCTGGGAAGACCGCGTGACAACTACCCCCGCTTCTGGAAGTGTGGCTCGCAAGTGGTTACGTTGAGTACCCTGAAAACGAGTGCGGCAGCCTGCAGACTGATCTCGACAAGCTGAACCAGAAGGTCCGGTACAGACCTGAGTCCACGAGGCCTCAAGCCCGGGATGGCAGATGTTTTGCTGAGCTGCCAGCTTGAAGTACTGCACGTGAGGAAACATGGCCCAGTCGGTGTACTTAGACCAGAACATGGAGCGCCTTAGTCTCTCCAATCTTGGGCAGCTGATGCCCAAACGAGAGAACGAGTCATGGCATCTCCCTGCAAGGCCCCAACTCGACATCAAGAACTCCAAAGCCGTCAAAGAAGGGGGAGTACGACACCCGGTCCTCCACGCAAAATGCTGAAAAAAGGGCAAAAATGAAAAGGCAACTGCTGAGGTCGCAGGAGAATATATAATGCTGGAGGGTGGGGGGGGCTGGGGTTCATAGCAGCAAGCCAAGCAAGCCAAGGCCTCTTCAGGAATCAACGTCGACAGCACCGGGCCTGCAACGAAGGGGGTCACTTTCGATCGCCCTACACTCACCCGCTTACCAACATGCATCACGCGCGCATCAACACGCAATGGCCACAGTCGAAAGGGTGAAGCTGTGGATGAGTGTCGACGAGTGCGATGCTGCACGGATGCTGCTTGCAGCAAGCATGCCGAGAGAAACAACATGATAAACAGGCTGACAAATAAACGAAGGTGAATGTCAAATGCTTTTCCGACGAAACCCCGACTGTGGAAAGCGGGCTTAGACACAATAGGTCGTGATGCTGATCTGATAGCTGCACACTTGTGGCTAGAACATCACACGCTCAGAACTGAGATGCCTCGCCCAAAATGTGGACTCGCCGTTCTTTGCTGGTGGCTCTTGTCACAGATTTCCAGCTTAGGCACATGATGCACGTTTTGCACGTTACGCACAATACGCGCTGATGTCACACCGTGAGTAAGTGCGCACATGCCCTGAGCAATGTGCTCCCAGGACCAAGGAAGGACAACTGAAAGCAGGGGGCTGCACAGGACGGCTCACTGGCAAATTGAGTTTAGGGTTTCGGGTTTCGGGGCTCTTATGAAAAATATGCGTGAGCTTGCGCCCATGTCCTTGGCTGCTCGCTCGTGTCAGCTGTGAGAGGAGCTGTGTGAGGTGTACCTTGTCCAGGTAGGATCTTCATCTCCCCCAGATCTGATCGCGTGTGCTGACCTGAGTGCTCCGAAACATCAAGTTGCATGCTGAAAAAGCTGAGCATGTACTTCCTTAAAGGACCAAAGGAACCCTAACATTGGGGTCATGTACCCTATACTACAATACCTCCTATTAGGGTATGCGAACCATAAATCCTTTTTAGGGTTCAGTTGGTCCTTAAGGTTGGGAATCCGTGGGCTGCTGACCGAAAACACCCCAGTGCCAAAGCTGGAATGGCACCTCGATTCCGAGAGGTCGGGGCCGAGCACACACAAGCTGGCACAGGCAGTCATGTTATGGGCGGTTCCGGAATTAGGGGGTACCTTATACTGGGGCCCTCTTTTGTAAGGGAGTCTAACTATTTGTGGGGTCGATTTTAGGGGTCCCCAATTTTCGTAAGCCCCCATATCCAGAGTCATCTTCTCCGGGGTGCCCACAAACGTCGGCATGTTCATCGAGTAGAACTCCCAGAAGAACATCAAGGATGTGTCGTAGGGAAAGCCCACCTTTCGGTTCTCTTTGTGTGGCCCCTTTGGGGTTCCCATTATAGTACAGAGCCTCACATTGAGGGCAGCCAAAAAAAGATGTGCTCTTGCTCGCTTTCGGATGACTCTCCAGTCTAAGGGGGCGACCACGGCACGATACTGGGACAAAGACTGATATGAGAGGGTGTCGTTGTAGACCTCCCCAACTCGAGTTGTCCAAAGTCTGGCCAATCCCTCATTCCACTCATAACACATGCCTCAGACTTGGGCCCAAACCTCTTCTGTCGTGTGTGGGTCCCTTGGCTTTCAGCGGAATCCAGCGCTCTCTTTGGAAGCAGACCGACTTCATCTGGTCAGTGGACTGAAAAAACACGCTTTGGTCTGGGGACTCTGTTATTCCAAATTGCCTGCCCGAAAAGGGGGGGCATTCATGTTGCGACGTCACTTCCTAGCATCCCAAGTGCAGCCTCGCATCAGCAGATCCGTGAACTGCACAAACCGCAGCGGGTACGTGGGATTCGCATCCACGAATCGATTCAGAATGCACTCTTGCCATCCACCGCTGGTTCCGGGCCGCGAGATCAGCACCTGCACATGGAAAACAGGTGCAGGACGGGCGCCTCGCGCTCCCGACCCCGCCCCCCCCCCCCCCCCCCCCCCCCCCCCCCCCCCCCCCCCCCCCCCCCCCTGGCCTCCGAGCTGCGAAGCGGGAGGTATGTCGCATTGGTGTGGAGCCCATGTATTCTCAGCGTTGGAATTCGAAGGCCCGTCTGCCAAGCAACCTGTGCAAAGTCCCCAAGGCGCATGGCATCATGGCAAACACCTTCTGGGTTTGGCTCGTGCTACGAGTACCTCCTCGGCCAAGTAGACATTGTTGGCCGCCATGATGGTCTGCTTGCTCTTGCCCAAGAATGCAAAGGCTTCCAAGAATTCCGAGCGCTCATCTCGCCGCACATGCTGCAAGATCGGCAGTCCTTTCAGGGACGCCGCAGGGGGGTCATTTTCACCGAAGCCCACTACCGCCACAGCCCTCTAACAAAAGCAAAGCGCATGCAGCCCGCACCGAGGTAGGCGAAGATGGGTTTTGTGACGCTTTGGAACTGGCTCGCAGAATCCCAAAGAAGCCAACACCACACTGCTGGGATGGAGCACATCCAGACATCCTGGGATCTGAGGACATTTGGGACTCGGACTGTTTAGTGAACTCTTTGAACTGCAAAGGAAGAGGGAACTGAGGGCTCTCCCCTGCACTCTGTCCAGGCGGCCGCCCGTGAAAGCTGCGGCATCATCTCCTTCTGGAATGCCCGAGAGAGCTCCGAGAAGGGCATGTTGATCCCAGCCTGAACAGAACAAGCTGGGAGCTGCGAGCCTTTTTGACTTTGAAGGTGGCATGCCCGTCGGCCTCGTACCTTGGCATGGCACAAGTCCGATCAGCTTCCGCAGGGCACTCGCGACCCCGGGCCAACTGAGCCCGGCACACCCAATCCAAGAACTCCTTGTTGCGGCCCTCTGCACATATCGTCGGCCGGTAGTTGAGACACATTTTGTGGGCAAGCGAGTTGCCGCGAAACTCGACGCTGTAGTCCTCGCTAAGGAAACCTCAGCCACATGCTTTCCCTTCCAGACATTCCCAACCACTGGCTAAAGGCGCGACCGGCCACGGGAAAGCCAACCCACTCGCCCTGAGCTGAGTGGCGGGTGATCATCGTCACGGCCTCGCCAGCTGTCGAGGCGTGGATGCAAGACTGCCACACCACCAGGTGCGGTCGGCTCGGGGACCCTGGTCCTCAACCGGCTTCTGCCGTGGATCTCAAGGTGGCGTGTTTGGGCCATTCAAAAGATTGGGTGGCTCAGATCGGCTCAGCACAATACAGCATCTATAAATAAATATAAAAACACAGACAACAAACAAAAAACCTGGGACCAAGTAATCGCATCCAGTTGCCCCCCAGCGGACTCTGTCCAGGCAGGAATGGGACCGGCGAAGGCATAACTTTGGCTGCCTCTGTAGTTCCACGCCATGCAAGTTGATCCTGGGGGGTCGTAGACACATGGCAGGCGTTGTTGTTCTGGCTTCTTATGCTTCTTGATTGTTGCTGGCTTCCAGACAAAGAATACAGAATCAGACCGAACACACCCAAACTTTCAGGCGCTGGTCGTAGTAGAAAGCTGGCCCAAGCTGACCCGGATGCACATAATCTGGAGCTTCAGCCACCGGCATCCAGGTCCCACCTGAATGGAAGTTCACCTCAGTGCCACCGCCGCACCCCGATTCTGCTCGCACGAGGTTACGCCGAGCAATCGGCCGAGATCAGGAAGGATGAGACCGGCCAAGAGGAAGACTCCAGAAAGTCGAAGGAGTGGTAGTGACCTTCAGGAAGGGGGGAAACCCCTCCGGCAAGACTAACAGGCTCAAGCTGCGGGCTTCCCACTGCGCACCTAGAAGGTGCCGCGCGATGTAGGTGTACCGCAAGCCGGGCTGGACCTGTTTCAAGGCGCAACTGTCCGAAAGAGCAGCTGGTCTTGGCATGAAGGGTTAGGAACAGAGCCAGAAGGCTGTCGGAAGGCCCTCCATGCCCTTAAAAGCCTCAGGTCAAGTTGAAAGCGCTCGATCTCTGGCTCGAGCCCAGCAGTTATCCGGAAACCTCTGCTAGGAATGACAGGGGTACGAGTTCGTGGAGGATCGAACTCCCCGGCAATACTTTAGAAGAGGAAGAAGGAAAAAGAAAAGACAGGGCACCAGATGACGGTAAAACCCGAAACCCCAAAACCCCGAAACCCCGAAACCCAAAACCCCAAAACCCCAAAACCCTAAAACCCTAAACCTTTTGCCTGCTCCGGGAGGCGGTGCCAGGCGAGGACCATGAGAGCCGTGACGTAGCCAAAGAGGCAGAATCCCGAGGGCGCCTCAGGTAACTTTGGCTTAACGCGGTTTAGGGTTTGGGTTGGGGTTTAGTTTAGGGCTTAGGGTTTAGAGTTTGGGGTTTGGAGCTTGGGGCTTGGGGCTTGGGGTTTGGGTTTTGGGGTTTGGGGTTTGGGGTTTGGGGTTTGGGTTTTGGTTTGGGGTTTGGATTTGGGGTTTGGGGTTTGGGGTTTGGAGTTTGGGGTTTGGGGTTTGGGGTTTTTTGGGGTTTTTTGGGGTTTTTTGGGGTTTTTTGGGGTTTTGGGCTCTTTGGGTTTAGGGTTTAGGATCCAGGGATTTTAGGGCCCCGGGTTACGAAACACCCTTCTCAAAAAAGGTGGGGGGAACAGATGGGGGAAACGTCGGAGGGCACCTCAAGTGCCTTGTACGCCTCGCTTCTGAAGTAGTGCCTTACCAGATAGCGCCTGGGCAGCATGGCGATGCTGAAAGCACGCACTCACTGCAAATCCGGCAAGCCGTCCTAAGCCGTCCTTTGAGGCGACCACTCGAAGTTGTTCGAGTCGTGGCCTGCCGAGCTGTGTTCAGCGGGATGATGACCACAAAGCACCAAACCACCAGATTCATTAGAACCCAAACCTTCCAAGCTCTCGGCATTCTCTGTGTAGTTCAGGGATGAAGTCGAACACAAGATCATCACTTTTCATGCACTGCTCTCCTGAGTAACGAGTAACGAGCTTGGAGTGCACGCAATGCTGCTGCAGTACTGACGACATTCCCACATAAGGGGGCGGCCACGAAGAACCTTGGGGCAAACCCAGCGGCCCCACTTCTCCTATCAAGGCAAACTTCAGCACAGGTGTCTCTAACCCCATAACCCCCTCAAAGTTTCTTGGATACTTCCCCAAACTAAGGTACCCAAAACTGCCTCCTTCTTATCGGAACCCCAACAAAGGCCACCCATATTTGGGAAGCCCCCCCTATTTAGGGTTCCGACATCTCCTCGATCATCGTTGCCATCTGCTCGAGCGCCGCTGAACGTGCGAAACCCTCGGCAACCGCCTGCAGAGCTGACCCAAGCCATGGTCCCTGTTTTTTAGACAACTTTTTGAGGTTGTGCTCCTCCTTGCAGTTTAGGGTGTCAATAAGGGCCAGTAATACCAGTAACTCGAGACAACCTCCCCCCCCCTTCACATCGAACGGGACAGAGCTCTGAACAGTTCCCCACGAGGTAATCTAGCAACTCTGTGCAGGAAGCCTCTGTGGCAGCCAGTCGGAAAACACGCCACTCCTGAAAGAGGTTGCTCTGCTCTGGCTCTCTAAGTTTGGCTCACCCTTGGGTCTATGCATGTCTTTGCCCTCTGCTGGGCAGGCAGCCCTAGAAACCCTGAACGCCCTAAGCCCTTGCAAGAGGACCCAGGACCGAAGTCCTGTCTAGTCAGGATCGCAAAGCAGAAACCGTCCTGAGGCCAGCCTTCACCCTCACAATCCAACATTCCAGGAACCTGGCGATCAGGTTCCCTTGGGTGGGGGGGTGGGGATTTGGGGGGTTAGGAGGACTTCGGGACTTTTAGTTAAGATTTAGGGTTTAGCTGTAGATGATGCAATCGGGGGTCGCCTGCAAGCTGTGGACAGCGTGATGTCTCTCCTGACACAACCCCATCTACAGGCTCGATGGGCATGCGGCATGCTTTGAACAGGAAGACTGCGCAATAGAATAAAGCGCAATGAATGCCACGAACTTTGGGCTGTCCTCTGCATAAGGTACGAGGAAGTTGGCTTGCCTGAGTGGCACGGAAACACTCTCTCTTACTCTCTCTATCTCTGAGCCTATGGTAAGCCAAGCCAGCGGCCAGACCAGCACAAGCAATGCAGGAACTGCGGATCCGCGCATTGCTGCACACACCATCAAGACCATGTGTAAGGCGACAGACACTCGGTCCTCGCGTCCGAAACGTGTGACCCTTGCGGCTATAAGTCCTTGATGCGCAATACTCGTTAATGCTGACCGGACGTGTGTTTTTCGAACAGTCAACCCGGCCGGCTCCATGAGGGTGTCTTCTGCTGGACGGCTCTCTGCGAAGCGTGGCAGGGCATAGGCCGACACGGCTGTGACAGCCAAGTGCGCAAGCCTTGAAGTGAGCGGCGAGGTCTGCCACAGATACTTGAGGGCGCCTTCCTTTCCGCTGGCTGTAGGCACGCTGCGTGCAAATGAAGGGTGACAAACGGCCGTTCCTTTGAACAGCCTGGCTTCGCACAGTCAAAGCTCGGCGCTCGAGCCTACGACTCTCTAAACCCTTAAAAACCCCTGAAGCATCTTCAAAACCTAAAACCTCCTAAACCCCCCCCTACCCACAAAAAAGAAAAAGAAACTAAACATCCATCAGCCCTAGCCCCCAACCTCTAAACCCCAGAAACCCCCGGAACAAACCAAGACGGTTGTGGACAGGACGGCGGCGTGCTCCAAGATGCTCTTCAGCCGTCACTTGTTTCGCACTGCCTCAGACAACGGCTTCCTTCATTGTCTGCTGTTCTGACTACTAAGTACATTCGGAGGCATATTCGATTCTTGCTACTGCTTGTTCTACACTGTTCCTTGTGATCAGTTGTCAGTGTTCTTGTTACTAGTTGCACAATTCTTCACTGGTATCCTAGAAGGAGAAGATTCGACTCGAAGGTTCCTCTTGGCCCGCGGCTCGTAGACAAACAGGTAGGCAGCTGGCAAACTCAGCACCTGCAAACTACAAGCGCAGAATGCGCAGGCATTGGCAGCTGTACATAGCTGCACAGTACGGCATGACCGAATGTCAGACAAAGCGTGCACGTGGGGGCGGGGGGGGGGGCAAACTGAAAAAAACAGACCGTCCGACGCTCAAACCGGCAGACAATGAGACTTCCTTCAAACACGAGGCATCAAGCGCGATTTAGAGGCTGAACTGTTGCCCAGTGGAGTGCTTGAGAGCTGCAGTTGGAGCAGGATGGATCCATTCATTTCAGAGAAGAAGAACATCAGGTGCCAAAAGAATGGACAAGTCAGAGGTGCTTTTTCAAGTAAACGGCTCAGAGAGTCTGGTTGTCTGCCGCAAGGTCAGACACTCGATAAAAGCCACACGTACCTCACCCCAGGCGCCTGCCACAAGTTTGTCTCGAAGACGCGGTCGTCATCAGCACAAACCTTAAAGGAACGGAATACGAGCTGCACCACAGTCGATACAGGCAGGGCTGCGCATGGCTTTGTGGCGACATGATGTTGTCTCGCACCTCTCTCTTTTCTGCAGCAGCATGATCAGCATCCCC